GACGATCAGTGGGACCTTAATGCTTTGTGCTTCTGGAAGGCGCCGCCCCCACGGAGACCGCGGCCGCAGGGGTGCGCCCAGAGCAGCCGCCTCCAGAAAACAGGTGCTTCCTCCAAACGAACTGCTGAGCACATCGAGTTAAGGGTCCCAACGAAGGAAGACCTCCCCGAAAGGGGTCATTTTCTCACCACCCAATCCCTAAATTTGGGAATTCACTTAATTTTGCGACTGGCGCTTGCCCCAGTGTCTGCCTTGGTCAAAGTCCCTCCTGTTACAATTTAAGGCAACAGCTGGGCTCCCTAGGAAAGCAGCAGGGAGGGGCGGGAAAACTGCTCTGGGGGTCACTCTCCGGGGGGTGAGGCCTGACGTCCCCTCTGGTCCTGGCACTAGTGGGGTGGAGGGGCCTGGGGCCTGAGCCGATGCTGGACGGCAGGAAAGCAGTGAGCAGGAGACAGGAAGATACTTGCTGAGAGAGTCAGGCAAGTTCACGCTCTCCTGGTGCAATACCACCCCCGGGATCTCTGACCAGCGAAGTGTTCGATGATTGTAGGCTTTCCGAGCGAGTGGGTGTGTGGGAATCTTCCGTGCCCTGGCACGGCCCCAGCCAGCCGTGGCGGCGGAGCATGAGTGAGATGCGCCCTCAGGCAGCTCTGGGAGAGGGTGGGCTGGCCACCCTGGCCCATCAGATGGTCTGGTAGTGCTGCCGTAGTCGGGCGTGCAGAAACTCGAACGTCAGGTTGTGTCGAGTGATGATCCCAACGATCTAGAACAAAGAGAAGACCCACGTCACCTGCAGAATAAATTCACTGGGGCAAGAACAGGAGCAAAGGGAGCTTGCCTGATCCTTCACAGTAGGCGGAGGAGACAGAGTCTGGGCCTGTAGAGCGCGGGGACAACCCGGTCATGCTGTGCACTTCAAGGTTACCCAGTTTACAGATGAGAAGGAGATCAATGTAACCAGGGCTTGTAATCTGGAGGCCAATGGGACAAATTCACCCCCAAGAGGAGTTTTAGTCGGGCCAGCTAAAATCTGAATTTGAATGTCTTAAAAAAAATGTTTATTTGAGACAGAGAGAGATTGAGAGAGAGAGAGAGAGAGCAAGCGAGCACAAGAGCGAGGGTGCGCACGAGCAGGAGAGGGCCAGAGGGAGAAAAAGGGAGAGAATCCCAAGCAGGCTCCGAGATGTTAGCACAGAGCCCGATGTGTGGCTCGAACTCAAGATCTCTGACATCATGACCTGAGCTGAAATCAAGAGTCAAACACTTAACTGACTGAGCCACCCAGGCGCCCCTGAATTTGAATGTCTTTTGGAGCAAGGCACATGCTCCCTAACCTTCTCAGTTCCCACCACCCCTAGAGCCTGCCTCACACACATGTCCAAAAGGCATAGCTCAATGCAGGCTTCCGAGAGGCCCAGACCCCGCTACAGCTCATAAATATGGTCTCTCAGCATCACCTGAGTCATTATGATCCTGTGATTTATAATGGGACTTTTAATAGGAAATTTATAACAGGTCTTCATCCTAGTCCTTGCCACAAGCTCTTTAAATTCGTGGAATGAAGTGATGAGAGTCAGAAGGTGTCTTTTATCATTCATAGCAAGCTCCTTTCAACCATACCTGAGTTTACGTGAATAACATGACTTTTAGGAAGATCCTGAGGACACAGGCTAGTTGCCAGGGGGGCCAACCACGTGCCTACAGGATTGGATCTTCTAGCCCCACCCCCTATTTCGGGGGGTGGGGGCTGGAGGTTGAATCAATCACCAGTGACCCATGATGTGATCAATCATGCCTACGTAATAGAGCCTCCAAGAAGATTCCTGAACTACAGCGTGTGGAGAGCTTCTGTGCTGGGAGGGCAGCGTGCTGCAGAGCGTGGACGTGTGGCGCCCCTTGCCACATACCTGTCCTATGCGTCGTCTCTTCCCATCTGGCTGTTCCCGAATCACAGTCTTCTATAGTAAACTAGTAATCTGGTAAGTAAACTGCTTTCTCGAGTTCTGGGAACAGAGGATCACGGGAACCTCCAATCTATAGCCACCTAGCCAGAAACACAGATGACAACTGGACTTTTGACTGCCATCCGAAGTGGGGGGAGAGGTTGGTAGGGCTGAGCCCTTAAAATGTGCGGTCACATGCCACCTCCAGGTACACGGTGTCCGAAACGAGCTACGCCGTGGGACGCCGAGCCGGTGTTCGGAGACTCGGAACTGCCCGTGTGCGGAACAGGGACAGAAGTACAGCAGAGGATGCATCCAGAGAAACAGGTTTTTGTGACCGAGGCGGCAACACACATCTGTCACTCGCGTGGGCACTCCGCACCGCGAAATGTGTTAGAACCCTCACTGCACTTGCGTTTCAAGGAACACGATCTGATCCCCCACAACTATACCCACGAAGAGCAGGCTGTGGGGTGCCAGCATCTGCCATAGGATGCTTCTATTTAGAGAGGTTTCATTCCCCGGGGGTGGGGGGGCCACTTGGCAGCACAGATCCAAAGTCTCAGGAGGGTGAACACTAGAGTGACATTTAACAAAATATCCCCCAACAGAGGACCACTGGGTAAGTGGCTGACAGCCAGCCAGTGGAATGCTATCCAGCCAACTAAAATACCATAAGCCGGGGTGGGGTGGGGGTGGGGGGGCGCCTGGGTGGCTCAGTCGATTCAGCGCCTGACTCTTGATTTTTGCTCAAGTCATGATCTCGTGGTTCGTGAGTTTGAGACCTGCATCGGGCTCTGTGCTGACAGCTGGGGGCCTGCTTAGGATTCCCCCTCCGCCCCTCCCCCACGTGTTTCCTCCCTCTCTCTCTCAAAATAAACATAAACAAACTTAAAAATATATCTATACTGTAGGCCAATGAAGTTTTCTGCCACGGAAAGTCATTTCCTCTAGATTAAACAAAGCATTAGGGTATTAAACAGTATAAACAGTGATAACATTCTCATTAAAACTTGATACATAAAATCGCTACTCCTAGATGCTGAGAAGAACGACAAAAGATCTACCTTGGCTAGACAGCGTGGCTACCTCTTAGAAATAACGCTTTGGTATTTCTTTTTGTTTATATTCTGCTTCTCTACATTTTCTTATATACGTCTTTTTAGCAACCAAACAACACCTGCGTAATGAGAGAAAAAACATGGAGTTCTAAGAAGAAAAAAAGGAAAAGTCTGCAGCAATGACTACTAGTTGTACCTGGCTGTATCTTTTAAAACCGTTCAAGTGTTTTGCTTGACATTCTCTCATTTAATGTTATAAATGCTCATCCTAGGTGGAGAGCAGAGCCCCTCCTCCAGGAAGTACAGGCCCCCATGGAGGGTGACGAAAACCTGGAAACCCGAAACTGGACTGTGCTAAGGCTGCCATGACACTGGTGACACCTGCTGGCCGAGCGGAGTGTGCGCGTCAGCAACACGCAGGAGGCAAAGGTCCTCCGAGGGCTGCGGAGGAGGTTTTGGCCCCAGGAACCCTGCTGGTTGGGAGGGGCGCTGCGGTCACGGGGTCCTCTCCAGAAGAGGCATGGCTGTGGGCAGACCGGAAGTCAGACTCACCTCCCCCACGGCATTCACCACGGGCAAGTGCCGCAGGCCCATCGTTCTGAACAGGTTGAAAACTTGAGAGACGTGGGTGTTAGGTGAAACGGTGAAGGGCGAAGGGTTCATGTACGGGGTGACGTCCTGCAGAGGGGACAACACAAGTCACCGGCGGCCACCGCCGCCCTCACCAGGATGAGGCGCGAACGGCGCCGACCAGCTCCGCGTGGGACAGGCTGCTGGCCTCCTCTCTGGGGTCCCCGCCCCAAAGGGACAGCCCCGCTCACCACAATCATGCGTGGGTTCAGCAGCGTCAGGTCCAGGTCGTGGATGTCCGGGTACCGCGGGTAATCCTCAGCCATCTCGGCATACGAAAGGCGAGGCTGGCTGGCGCTCTGCAATCCCGACCAAGACACTGTCCTTGCTCGGGCACAGCGACTGTCAGGGTCACGTCTAGGGCCCCTCCCCCTTTAAGTCCATGTCCCCCCAGCCACGGCCCCACCCGGCGCAAGGAGCGCAGAACAGAGCGCTCGGCAGAGAGCCGCCGCCATCTCCAGCCGGCTCCCCGCCAGCCCGCCACCCTCGCAGAGTCTCCTGATCTCTCGGAACCTGCTTCTCTTCACCTGTAAGATGGATGTGGCTTATTCTGGAGTCTAAATGAGAGAAGAGCTAGCCAATAGCTGTCGTGGGTTGACTTGTATCCTTCAAAAGATCTGAGTCCTAACTCCTGCTGCCTGGGAACGAGGCCGTATCGGAAACAGGGTCTTGGCGGATGTGAGCAAGTTAAGGTGAGGTCATACTGGATTAGGGTGGGCCCTAGATCCGATGACGGCTGTCCCTCGAAACAGAGGAGAGGATGCGGAGGGAAAAGCCCACGTGACAACGGAGGCAGAGACTCGAGTGACACATCCACAGCCACGCCGTGCCAAGGATGGCCGGCAGCCAGCACGGACTGGAAGGCAAGGAACGCCCCTCCCCCGGAGCCTCTCCAGAGAGCAAGGCCCGCTGGCGTGTGGACTTGGTACTCCGGCCTTGAGAATCATGAAAAGAATAGATTTCTGTGGTTTGCAGCCACCCAGTTTGCGGCAACTGGACACGGCAGCCACGGGGAACGGACACGGCAGCTCTGTTACCATCCCTGCATTCTGAGCATTTTAGATTTTCCCTCCGCCCTCCCTGGGCTCCTGGGCCACCACCACTGGCACTCAGGCTGAGCACAGTGGCTGCAAGCGCCAGTCACTGCTCTGTCCTGATCTCTCTCCCCGGGGACCCCGGGCGGCGCCTGCTCCGGCTGGTTTCTGCTCAGTCACCCAGCCCACCTCACCCCTCCTGTGCCCCACACGCCACCTCCACCCTCATCCAGCCAGGCTGTCCTCACCACAGACCGCTCTCCCCGTGGCCCCTTTTGTCCTGCCCCACGCTGGCTCTCTTCCACAGGCCACCAGGACCACGAGTGACCTCAGGCTGGCCTCTGTGGGCAAGAGCCGAACCGGGAGTGTCAGTTTGGAAACCGGGCCTCTGGGCAACCTTCAGGGTCTTCAGGTCGCCACAGGGACCACTTTGAACAAGACACCCCCTCCTACCCCTGCTTTTCTCCGTAAACACCAAAGGAAAGGAAAAAAGGAAATTAATGGGAAAAACAGTATTTTTTGGTAACGTACGTACAAACGTTCGCCCGAATCGGAAATCAAAGCGTAGAAACTATGTTAAAAGTCTTGGGGCGCCTGGGTGGCTCAGTCGGTTAAGCATCCGACTTCAGCTCAGGTCACGATCTCATGGTCCGTGAGTTCGAGCCCCGCATCGAG